TAGACCCAAATCGACCCAACCACGTTTGCAAACTCAACAAGGCTATCTATGGCCTTAAACAAGCCCCTCGCCAATGGTTTCACAAACTGACCGGTTTTCTGGTTCAGTTCGGGTTTTGTTTCAGTCATGCTAATCCCTCTATGATGGTTTACAATCATGGTACAACACAGTTATACATCATCATCTATGTTGATGACCTCTTGCTGACTGGCAATCATATGACCACCATCAATACTCTACTCCAAGATATACGTGATACATTCGATCTCAGACAAATGGGTCAAGCGAATCTCTTCCTTGGGATACAGATTGCTTACACCAAGACTGGAGCTTTCCTTCACCAATCCCACTATGCAAGGGACATTCTTCTAGCCTCGGGTTTTCAAGACTGCAAACCTGCAAGCACTCCAATTACAGCCTCTGGCTCTTCTGCAGCTTCAAATTTGCAACCATTTGACAATCCCAAACTATACCGACAACTTGCTAGTTCCTTGCATTACCTTACTATTACTCGACCTGATCTGTCATTTGCGGCTAATGTGATCTGCCAATCAATGCACAATCTTACCTTCACTGATTTCCTGAAGCTCAAACGCTTAATACAATACATCAAGGGTACTCAACACCTTGGGCTTCCCATCACTTCCGGTCCACTTGAACTCACCACTTACTACGATGCTGATTGGGCAGCTAACACAACAGACATGAAATCCATCTCTAGCTTCTGCACCTTCCTCGGCTCCAACCTTGTCTCCTGGAGTGTGAAGAAACAAACTACAGTGGCTAAGTCTTCCACAGAAGCTGAATACAGAGCCCTGTCTTCAGCTCTATCCAACGTGATTTGGCTACGACGCTTGCTCTCGGACTTCCAAATCAGTCTCACATCACCTACCATGATGTTCTGTGATAATCTATCGGCGCTAGCTCTTGCTCACAATCCAGTTTTCCATGCTCGGACGAAGCACATCGAAATTGATCACCACTTCATCCGTGATCATCTTCAAAAACAAACCGTGGCAGTCTCTCACATTCCGTCCGATGAACAGCTTGCTGACATTCTTACCAAGCCACTTTCGGTCACTCGGTTCATCACTCTGCGCAACAAATTAAGCATCAGCTCTCTAGATGCTCAATTTTGAGGGGGCATGTAAATCTAATGATGAAACAAAAAAGTCACATGGCTAAAGCCCAAAAACCACTTATTCGCCCAGACCTGCTGTCTGCTCCACCTTACTGAGCATAACGGTCTGTAATGATGTCTCATTGGCTTATAAAAGCCCACTGGAAGGATAATCGAGATAAGCCTTTTCAATATCATTTTACTGTTCATCTTCTTCCTTTTTCTTTAACTTTCCTGTGCAGGTTTCTTCTCATTAAGACTGTATATTTTCTACTGTTTCAAAAAAACTTAAAGCATGGTCTGCGTTCTAAGGAATCAATCACAATATCTCACAACAACTAAACAGTTTAACGAAACTTAACTCGGCACAAGTGCTACTGTACAATCATAGGTGAAAAAAGTAATAAGGAAAACCAACTAAGCTAGATTCAAAATGCAAAATATGCAAACTAAATACCAAACCAAATTGCACATCAGATAAAATTTCTCAAAGTTGTCGATACTGCCTTCCTAGAAGTCAGGTTGCAGAAAAACTGCCTTCCATGAAAGCTGGTTGCAGAAATGGCCCTCATAGGGAATGGATCAATAATAACAACTTTCATCATTGTCTAGTTAAAGACATTAAACTGAGCCTTTGCAATAGAAGAACCACAGGCTTCATAAATAAAGGAAACCATGGAGCTAAAAAGGAAACAGTGACAAAATCCAAGAAATCAGCCACAACCGCAATACAAAAACTCCAACAGAGAAATCTCCTTAGTATAACAAAGCTTGCACCAGGGACTTAAATTCCATCCAGGTGAAACAGGATTATTTTAAATCCAAATGTTCATGCCAAACTAATAGCATGGTACAATGAGAAACCTTTCTGGAAGTTATAAATCAGCACTTGTATCGTACTCGAGGAATTTGAATCTTAAAAGCACACACAAATTTGAGTGAAAAATGAAACAAAATAATGAATTTTTACATTCCTCAATATCCCTGTTACAATCAAAGTGAGCCCAAAATTTAGCTGTCTCACAAATTCTCATGATGAACCATAATGCAAAAATCTAACATTCCAATACCAAAATCCCAATGTTCAAACAATAGCTTTCATTGTGTCTATTGAACACATTATTTCCTCGCATTTTTGAAGTAGAATGCTTCAGCTCAGAATTTAACTAAAGAGTAACAAATGTGGCCAGAACTCAACAGCAAACAATAATGTTTTTAATCAATACATCATAGCCAGAAATGACAATCATTGTGAAGAACAGGTAAAGCAAAACAAGGAACAATGTTGAACCTGTCAGCATTATAATTTCAGCAAACAAGAATTGTATCTAGGAGAAAAACACTAGGTTAAACTCTAAGAGCAACAAATATGGGAGAAAGCAAAGGAAAGGTCTGTAGAAAAATCACTAGGTTCCTTGACACTAATAAATTCAGATACATTCCCTCCAGGAAATACTTATAAAAAACAATTAGTTAGGAGAAGAACACCTGCACATCTCAGGTCAAATCCCCTATAATTGTAGGGGAAACTAGCTTATAGCATACAAAATTGGCATAGAAAAAACTATAGCTTAAGTTCTCCTTACATTTTTCAAACAACGCATATAAGAAAAACAGAGGATCCTGGATAGTGTATTTGACAGTTGGAATGGGACAGCTGCATACACTCGTTAAATTTATTGAAAATTTGTTGTGGGCAAAGAAGAGCTTTTGAAAACTGCTGTGATATTATAGATAAGTTAGATGATAGATTTTCTACAATCACCACACTAGTCGATCTAATTGTGAAAACCTCTATCATAGATATTTCTAGAGCTGTCAATAATGGACCCGACCCGAAAACCCGACCCAAACCCGACCCAAAAATTTCGGGTTAGGGTTGACCCGAATCCGAAACGGGTCGGGTTCGGGTCTGAAAAATTGACCCGTTTGTAAAACCGGCGTCGGTTCGGTTGACCGGAAACCCGGAAATGAACCCGGATTTGAACCCGGAGCAGATCACCGCGTCGACCCGCAGCCCTGCCCCGCGTCAGCCACCTGGCTCACTCGCCCGCGCACCGCCCTGCAGTTCAACCTCCGCGTCCGCACATCCCGCCCCTCGTCAAGCCCCGCCCGCCGTGCACGGCCCGCACACGCGTGGCACCAAGCACCCGCATCGCGTTAGCTCCGCGTCGCCCCGCGTCACGTTCACGCACAGCCCCGCGATCGCCTGGTCACCCGTCCGCCATACCCAACCAGTCCCTAAGGGTCCGTCCCCGCTCCCCCAGTCGCAGCCCGCCTTTTAACCCCCACGTGGCTTTGCCAGGTTTGAAACAAGCGGGTTCGGGATTGACCAAACCCGACCCGAACCTGAAGCGGGTCGGGTTGGGTCCAGGAATTGACCCCGTTTGTAAAAAACGGATCGGGTCGACCGAACCCGAACAGTGCGGGCATTTTGGGTTTGACCCGAACCCGACCCGGTGACCCCGAATAAATGACACCCGCTAAGATATTTTCTATTAAAGCCAGTAACTGTATAAATATGCCAAAAGAATATGCTAATGAAGAAGGAGAGTAAACTATATAAAACAAATTCTATCAACTATATAATAATAACAAATTTATTAATCAGTATAATGTAAGAATACTCAAATCAAGATAAACTCATCAGAAAATACTTCTTGGTGTATATTAGTCTCTCTTCACACACAAAACAATTGAATACATAAAATTAATTACATATAAATAATAAGTTAATCATTGATTATTAATTAAAAATTAAAATTAAAAAAAAAATACTTACTAAAGCTTGAGGCCAGGCAACATAAGTTCAAATTGCATGTCCATATATGAACTGAACACCAATTAGGACCTAATGGATAGTTACCAACCATATGTGTAGGATCCATACTTTGAACATATCCAATTGCCATAGTTTTAGTAGAATCAAGAACACTTTTGACTGCAACTTTAGTTCCAACCTATACATAAGAAGTTTATAAGACCTAACTAAAATTTGTAATAACATTTGAAAGATCATTTGAAAGATTTAAATATGGCTCTATAAGTTCATAAGTAAATAGTTTGCTTACTTGAATATGAGCACTATCATTGAAAGAGTGTACATCACCATTTTGAGAATATTGAGTAGCTCTTAATGAGGTGCTATTAGTAGCATGCTGTGTACTTTGCATATCCAACTTCATTTTAGCAATTACCTCACCTTGTTCTTGAACTTGTTTTTCCATTTTTTCAAATGCTTCCTTGAAACCTTCTATTAATCGATAAGTGCTACTTCGATTTGGGATTTCTCCCCATGCAACATAAAGAGTTACACCAAATCCATACATGCGAACTCTTCCGACCTTGTCATTTCCAAGAACCTTTGAGAAAATATCATCTCTTCCAACATCTTCTGTTTGAGATGTTTGACTTCTTATTTCCTTCATTTTTTCCTAAATATAATGAATATTAACTATTTCATGTACATTTTTGTATATTTTATAATTAATTTATGAAATATTTTATTATAAGTACTTACCAAAGCTTCATAAGCATCAATATTATTAGTAATTCCTTCTTTTGTGTAACACCTTTCAAACATTTCAACTCTTGTTGGTGAGTGACCTATGCTTTTCTCCTAAAAAAATTAATAAAAATATAAAAGTTAATTAAATTAAAAGAATAATTGACTTCAAAATTTAAGTATAACACACACTGACAGAAACATGTATATACATATAAAATTTACCTGATCTTAACGCACTTGACCGAAACTCCTTTTTCCAGTTATGTGCATCAAACTATTTTTTTACCAACTCTTTTTATTTCGTTCACTTATACACTAAACACAAATGTGAATTAATAAAAAAATATGCTATGAATAACTCTTTAAAATTTACAAGTTATGATAATATACCTTTGATTCTTCTGAATTCCAATAGGAAAGAAGATTTTTCCATTGATCTTTGAGTATCCTTTTTGGCACATTACATAGTTGTAATTCTGTAGTCATATTTGGATCATAATATCGAGATTTAATGTCTGCTTTCCAATTCCTCCATTTCTTCCCAATTGATTGAAGAACCCATACATCACTACCACGAGTAATCTCAAATTTCTCCTAAAAAAAAGAAAATATTTATTGTTAAATCCAAAGAATTTTGTTATTTTATGAATGTAACTAAAATCAAATAAAACAAGTAGATATATTATGAAGATAAATACTTGAATAACTTCTAACATATTTTTTTTAAAGACTTTGGCATTTGATCTCAACTTCGATGTCAATAGGTGCATATTTCCCATTCCGAGCAATAGTTCCTAAAAACTCAACAAATAATGATTTATTTTGTCCAATAGGTTGACCATACTTGTTAAAATTAACAAGTCGTTCTCCACCATGTTGGGTAGCATGATATCCCCAAATACTACACATATATGTTGGACCTCTTTTTTCGTTTTTGCTCCTCATTGCTTGTACCTACTATGAAAAAAATATGTTGAAATTAAAGTCTTGTAAGTAAGATAAATGTAAATGTAAAATAAGCATATAAAGTTTTGATAATATCTTAAATAAGAGGCATACCTGCAACATAATTTTCGATGGTATTTGTTGGAACATCTATTTCAACTTCAGTTTGTTCTCTACATCCTGTATTTCTAACATGTGTTCTGGTATGTGGTGCCATTTCTTAAAAATCATTATAAAACATATATGTGAGTAGAGTCTAATAGAAGATAAATAATGCAATTTATCACCCATGTTGCTCACATAATCTATGGACAAAAATAAAGTATGTAATATATTCAAAAAAAATGTAAGGTTCACTACATAAAAACTAAATGCAACCTTTAAGTATAATTCTAGAATAGGCTTTACAGGTTGTTTGGCATCCAAAATGCAGCATGAAGCATTAAAGCTATATTCTATCCTTCTTCAGGACAAACATTCTAAAACAACTTTATCAATCTCTGGGACACGACTTTTTTTGTCTCTCTTTGGATAATTTGGAATAAAAGATATAATAGATTGTCGTCTAATGAAACCTCAAACCAGAAGGCACTATAGTTTGATATCATATCGCAAACATATTTTTTGCATTTTCAACACTTCCGATTAGAGAAGTCTTGTCAGTTTAAACTGTGTATAATTATGTCCTTTGTTTTCTGTGAAAATTCACTGATGTTAGCTATTTTTAATCTATACCATTTTCTTTTGTTTTTGGGAGAAGGGATTTTCATAAGAATTTTGGATGAGATGTTGATAATAAACTTAAAAGTAATGTAGTCGAAGGCAGTGGCGGTGATCTAGAAATGCCAAAGCATTGAATAAAGGAAAAAAATAGATTCTTCTCTAGTAAAAGTAGAGATGAGAAAGCAATTTGTTTTGATATTATCTAACTTGCATATTTTTGTATTTTCAAACTAGAAATTTATACCGTCAAAATGCAGTTTTCTGATTTCCAACTGCTAGAGAAGCCTACTTCATTTATTTTCTATCGTGTGTAATTTGAGGGATTCAATACTATCCTTTGTCTTTTGGTGATAATTCGCTCATGGTAATCTGTACTATTTTCTTTTGTTCTAATGAAATGGGATTTTCCTAAGCAAATATGAATGAGACATCGACAATAAAAATTAAAAGAGATTAAGTCAAAGGTAGTTGCGATTATGCATAAATGCTGTCATAGAATTCAAATATAAAAACAATAACAGTTATAATTATGATGATTCGTATGAATGTGAACATCATGAGAATGCAAGTAACAAAAGATGATGAGATTATATAATTTTGATGATAATAGTGAAGAATTTTTAATTGTGAGTGACATGAAATACTCGGAATAACCTGAAGAAATAAAGTTGCATGAAAGAGCAATCTGTATGGCAGTATTTTGTTTATCACCGGTCAACATTACAATATAAACAATACACAAATAAATTACTCTAGTAGTATGCCATCAACTTCATCTCTAATCCATTGAACTTCATCATCAATAAAATACTGTTGAGTAGAAGTCTCACTTTGCAAGTAGGCATCAACATCCGTGTCTATGTGAATGTTATTAATATCATTTCTTGGTGATGTTGTAACAACAATGTACAATGTATGATCAATAGGATCTTCCACATAAAAAACTTGTTGAACTTGAGAAGCAAGCACAAAAGGTTCTTGATGTCGTTTAATTTTATTGAAATTAGTCAAGATGAAGCCATCCTCGTCCTCCTTCAGTCTTTTTCCTTTAGAAATCCAATCACATTCAAATAAAACAACACTTCGCTCTGCTGTGTAGTCCAATTCAATTATATTTTTTAAGATCCCATAGTATGTCAAGTTACTTGAAATAGGATTCTTATCTTTGATGCCTGGAAAGCTTGAAGTTAGAGCTTTAACCATCACTCCACAATTTTGAGTTTTTCTTTTTTTCATCAAATCTACAACATGAAATATAAAACCATTTATAAGGTATTTCTTGTATAGAGTGACAACATTTGAAGGACCTCTAGCTAAGCGCCTCAAATCAGTAGAAATAGTATCATCCTTCAATGGATCAATTGAAGCAATCTATTAAAATAAAGTAGATGTAATCAGTTAAAATTCTTATGTAAATTACATTAGCATTATAACACTAACCTTATTAGTAAACCAAGAAATGAAATCTTCATTGTGCACTTTTTTAGCTCATGCTCTCCATAGCGAGACCTTTTTTGTCTTATCATTTCTTTAACTGTAGTGTAATGTTCACTGTATATAATCATAAATTTTATAAGAATATAATAATTATTATTATTACATAAAAAAAGAAAATATGTATTCTTCAACTATTTTTTTACCTAACATATGGCTCTATTTCCTCACAATTGAAAAGGGCATATCAATGTGCTTTTATGAGTGTGTCATCATTGAAGATCTTGACCTCTCTTTTTCCAAGTGCCCGATCATTTGTATTAAAGATATTAAGTCCTTCATTCAAAATATTTTCGTCCAACTCATTTCTTCCAAGTTGATTATGCCTTGTTTTCACATGCTCAGAAAAATATAAAGAGCAAAATGTTAAACATTCCTCTACAATATAGCCTTCTGCAATTGATCCCTCTGGACGACTTCTATTTCGAACATATGACTTTAACTTGCCCAAAAATCTGAAAAAATTATTTCATAAATGATATAAATTTTTTATTAAAGTTAGATATGATAAAAGAAATAATAATACATGAAATAATTACTAACCTCTCAATAGGATACATCCAACGATAATATATAGGACATCCAATCCTTGCCTCGGAGCCCAAGTGAATTGTCAAATGCACCATAATATCAAAAAAAAACTGGAGGAAATATCTTTTCAAGATGGCAAAGTGTAATTGCGATTTTTTTTTCCAATCTAAGAAGCTCAATTGTGAGAAGAACTTTAGAGCATAAGCCTTGAAAAAAATGACTTAGACGAATTAAAGGAGAGCGAACTGACTTAGGCAAGACTCGTCTTAAGCATAATGGAAGTAATTGTTGCATTATTATATGATGATCATGGCTCTTTAATCCAAATATTTTCAATGGTTTCAGTTGCACTCATCTTGAAATATTAGATGCATATCTATCATGCACTTTAATATTTTCAAGACTTTATAGAAAATTTCTTTTTCTTTTTAATTCATTGTAAAGCATGCTGCAGGTAAATAAGTATGTATAGATGAAGTACAAGTAGGGTGCAATGTAGGGTGTATTCCCATTTTTTTCAAGTCTTTATGTGCATTCAAATGATCTTTTGTCTTCCCATCAAGATCCAACAACGTACCCAAAATCTTATCACATACATTCTTTTCAATATGCATAACATCTAAGTTATGGCGTAAAAGATTTTTTTCCCAATACGGCAACTTGAAAAATATACTAAACTTCTTCCAATTAGAAGGAAAATTAGAATTAGCTGGTGTTTTCTTTCCAAACTTCACATTTATACTTCTTAACATATCAATAATTTTGGATCCATTAATTGGTGTTGGTATTGTCCCATGTTCTTCACAACCATTAAAAGATCGACTATTTTTCTGTCAGGATGATCGTGATCTAAGAACCTCCGATGTCCCATATAACATCTTTTATGACTGAAATGTAACCACTCAGAATATGTACTCTCCTGACAAATAGGGCATGCAAACTTCCCTTTTGTGCTATAACCTGATAAGTTAGCATAACATGGAAAATCATTTATAGTCCATAATAATGCAGCTCGCATTTGAAAATTCTCCTTAGAACATGCATCGTAAGTATGCACACCAATTTCCCATAACTCTTTTAACTCAGCCACAAGTGGTTGTAAATAAACATCAATATCATTTCCAGGTTGAGTTGGCCCAGGAATAAGCAAAGAAAGCATCATGTATTGTGATTTCATACACAGGTTAGGTGGCAAATTATATGACATCAATACAACAGGCCAAGTACTGTGAGTTGAAGTCATTGTCCCAAATGGATTAAATTCATCTGAAGCTAAACCCAATCGTACATTTCTAGGATCTGCAACAAAATTTGTATCTTGGTAGTCTAAGTGCTGCCAAGCTGGAGTGTCATATATGATGCAGTCTTAGATGACATGAATAATCTCTGCAATCTTGATGTTAATGGGAAGTGCCACATGACTTTTCCTGCCACCTTTTTATTTTTTTTACTTGATAAATCTTTTGAAGTGCTATCTTCTACAACCCATCTTGACTCATTACAAATATCACATTCATTCTTAAATTCATGAGGATCCCAATATAAAATGCAATCATTATGACATGCATCATATTTTTTATAACTCAAGCCCAAATCTTGAATTATCTTCTTGGTCTCGTAATAAGACTTTTGTAGACGAATATCTTCAATTGCTTCCCTTAACAAATCAAGCAACATAGTAAATGATTTCTGACTCCAATTACCAAGGCATTTAAGCTGAAGTAGCCTAACAAGAATATCAAGTTTTGAAAACCTTTTACATCCGGGAAATAATGCTTGTTGTGAGTCACTTATCAACTTGTAAAACTTTGCAGCATATGCATTTGGTTTATTAATTTCTTCTCGTTCATCTGCAATATTACTTTCAAACCTAAATGCATCATTTAATAGCCCTTACATGTCATCATTAACATCATCAGCAATGAGAGAATGGGATCCAATGTCATTTTTAATTGAAATTTCCCCATGAGCAGTCCAATGGTAATATCCAGTTTTGAATCCTCTCCAAAGCAAATGAGCTTCAACATCATCTCTTGTCCTACAAATGCCATTTCCACAATCTCTGCATGGGCATAGTATCGTTCCACTTGAACTTCCATTATTGAATGCAAAAATTAGAAAGTTTTTAACTCCTTCTTTAAAAACCATATTATTCCTCGAACAATACATCCAACTTCTATCCATTTCCATATTAGAACCTTCATATAGCAAAGAAGAAATGAATATTAGAAACCATGAGTATATTCTTTGATTTGCATTACAAATAAACAAGTGATTAAGTCAAAGATACACACATAGCACCAAATTAAGTACAAGGTAAAAAAAGAAACCACACACCTCACAAAGCCCAAAGAAAAAATAATCAATGGAAAAGAAACATCCGATTATGGAAAAGAAGCATCCATTAATTGATTTGTTGAAATTTGCATATCGTT